ATTAAATGTATTTTTAAATGCTTTTCTACAAAAATCGTTCAGCTGTGAAATTCCCAGAGTCACTTGAGATCCCACTTTATCTAATGACAGAATAATAAATATATGCCATTTTCATTATACTGATTATGCAGTATATAAGTATACTTGTGAAAAATGATTTAATAGGGATATTAAATGTTTTTAGACTGGGGATTAGAGTGTTTTATACCAAGAGAATTTGAACACAATACCAAAATACAAATATAAAATTCTCAGTGATTACAATTGCTTTGATATGGGTACAATGACTCGCTTGAAACAGATCAAGAAAGAAAATAAATGTAATTTATTCTGATAGAGCACAAAGGATGCCTGATGCAGCCATGACTTTTAGATAATCAGCTATCTTTGCTGGAAATGCTTTGCTCAATTTACTTTAAGAGCTTTATTTGCATAAGAAGAGAATTTGGTTGAATCATCAGAGAGCATGATGGGTGATGGGTGATGCACATTCTCTTGATCGGATGCCTTTTCAGTCGTTCTTTATATGGAAACCAATGTCAGATTCCAGAGATATATTTGTGCATGAATGAGCGCACGTTTAAAAATTTCATGGTGTTTTCAATATTTATGAAATAGAGGAAGAACAGTGTGTGCTTCCCACTTTGAATTCCAGCTAAAGGAATTCATGCTAATTTGCTCTTGTTTACGTAATTATTGTCTCTCCAGCTGTTGATGTCATTCACTGTGTGAATTAATTCTCTATGATTTCAGCCCATAACAAAGTCTCTGCAGAACAGCATATTTAATATTACAGAAATCACCCAAAAATTGTGGGGAAAATGACAAATAATGCACTGTGCATAAATAACTGAAATGACACGCTGAATAAAGTATCACTTGAGTTCATTTTATGATTGCTTAATATATATATTCAGCTCTAGCTAGGCATATTAAAAAAACGAATGAAAATAATTAACAAGGGCAAATGGAATCAACAAGACACAAAACAGTAAAATATAAATCACAAACATTTGAATGCTAATAGTGACATTTCTCTTTTCTAGCATTAACAATTCATAGTGTAAGTGCCGTTTCCATCAAATATACACTAAAATAGGTCAGCCTGTCTCGGTTTGCTTCCTCCCAGGGAGAGCTGGGTTGAGAGTGAATGATGTCTAAAGTTTAGAGATTTGAAATGTTCAGAACAGCTTGCAATTAATGCAAAAACCCCTCAGTTCTTTATTCATGCATCAGGACCCAAATAAATTCAGATTTGTTGTCCTCGCACAATTGCACTTGTTCAGGAAGAAAGTCTTGACACTGACGGCCCTGTTATTTTTTTCTCCATGATAATTGCGGGGTACTGTTAAAAAAAGAAAAACAAGGTGACTTTCTAACTCTCTGGATGGCAACAATTATGAGAGCAATTTGTATCACATCCTCCAGTCCCTGCCATGTAACAAAGAGCTTTGACATTATTGTCTGGTACTCCTCCGCTTCTCTGCAGCTTCATCGAGGAAGGGAGCTCTGAATTTCATTAAGGCAAAGATAATGACTATGTATCAGACCGGTTCAGGGCATGAGAAGTGTGATTAACTTTCTCTCTCCGAATATCGAGCTGTAGGACCGTGCTGAAGTTACTGGGGGTGGGCCGTTGTGTGTTAGAAGAATTGTTGGTTGTTCTCTGGCCTGAAAAGTCCTCCTGAGGGGCCGTCTTTGATGTGAGTCGTGGACGTCAGAGAGACAGCCAGGGCTGATGTGAGGGGATTTGCATTGAGATAAACACATGAAAGAATCAATGCCTTTCACTGTAAAAGCCCAGCCACTGCTGTGAGTGGAGTGCAACTGTTATATTGGTTCTAGCCAAAGCCAAGTGGATTTTACTTCAGTGAAACATCCTATGCTTAAACTAAATTATTAAAAGGGTCATATCGAACGCCTTTATAACAAAAGAGAATATTTGCATTTGGAAGATGCTTTAAGTTATTTTATTTATTTATTTTTTTTAATCAGTTCATGCATATGAATTTAGCTGGGAATCGAACAAATCTTGGTATTGCTTACATGCTCTATACACACCCACAACAGTTAAATATTTAAATCTAAATTTTAAATTATATATATTTTATTATTAAAAATAAAAATGTATCAAAATATAGAGTTTTCTAGAGAAATATTAATATTTAAAGTTCACTGTTTCTCCCTGATTTGTTTTATTTTCTTCCATAGTGCGTGTTTTTGATTAATTGTACTGAATCTAATTAGGGTCAATTTGACCAATAACATAATGATCATAGTTGTACCTACCTATAATTTTAGCATAATACAGCATTAAAACTATGAAAAGCTCCCACACTCACCTCAGTCCAGCATCACATTGTAACCCGCGTGATCTTAAACCTCAGGGCAAGGTCTGTGCAACATCTGACAGAAGCCTGTATCTATGCATAGAGTCATGTATTTCAAAAAGACAACCATCCTATTATTTTCATTGTGGTATATGGTATTCCGTATTTGCATGGACAGTTGAGAGTGCCCCAGGGAAAATTATGCATTGTTTATCAGCTCAAATAACAGAAAAGAAAAATAGAAAAAAATATATGATAAAGAATGCATGACTTGTTATATCGAACATGTGATCTGGCTGGCAGCAGGAGGATGAGCAGCTTAAATGATATCTGATGGACATTAGAGTCCATAAGCATATACCATGAAAACGTAATAAAGTAATACAGAAAGAACAATTATGTTGCCTAAAAGCTGAAAATGTCAAGGTTTGTTAGATAGCAGTACTTTTAAGGCCTTTCTGCTTTCATTCATTAATAATTGGATTGTTACTGTTGTTTGTGGCTCTTCCATCCATCCATACATCCATACATCCATCTATACATACATCCATCCATCCATACATGCATACATACATACATAATCTTGATTTTATTTTTTAAATGCGTCTGTCTGGCTAAATCCATTCTATTCAGAAAAAAACAGTAAAAAAAAAAAGTACCCAGGTGACCTGGTATTTCTGCTGAAATTCTGGAGTGAGCAACTGCGCATTCAATGGACACTTTCCGATTAAGCCAGGGGAGAGGTTGTTGTGAATGGCAGTGCAGCGGCGGATGTACTATGTCCGAATTTCATTAATTCATATCCATGCTATATAAAATGTATTTTTTTAATGGTGTTGAAGTAAGTTTCGAACTAAATACAGTAGGCTACTGCTACAGTGTGCAGTTTTGGATCTATCATAAAGCTTTCTTTTTTGGTCTATACTCCCATGGTGCTGCAATTTGAAGAGACTCTTTCTAAGCACATTTTGTTTACATGCAGCAACTAACAGCATCATTCAGTGGCTGCATAATGTTACCATAATGTTCATTTTAGCTTTAGTTTAATTTTCATGGACTTTTAGTTTATTTCTCTTCACCTGTCTCCTTTGTTCTCTGTTTCCCGACATTTACTTACCACCATGCACAACTTTGATGGCCAAATATCAAATAAATGGGAATGGCTGTTTGGAAGAATGAAGACATGTTTTTTGGAAGGAAAACAAATCTTTCTGGAAAAAATATGAAGTGACTGCAATGAGCCATGTTGTGTTTTGCACTTTTGACCACACATTGATTTTTTTTCTGGTAAAGTTGATGATGAATCTTTTAATGTTACAAAACTTTTGGAAATAAATACTACTTAACTTTTCAATCCATTGTCAACAGCATAGACTTTTATCTTTATGAAAAAAAATAACTTTAAAATCCTGAAATTAAACGGATTCAGGTGCTCCTTTTACACAGACAAAGAAATACAGCCAGTTACTGCTGTTTTTGAAGAATGATGCCATTTACTTGGAAAAGTAAAGCACAATGTTAATGTATCAAGTCTTAAGCACACAGAATTACACCAGAATTACATTTTAGCTTTTTTGTTATTGTTGTTACCCTTGTTCTTTCAACAAAATGTCAGAGTTATTTAAGGGGAACTGGGTAAGTCAGACCTCATCTCAAAACCACAAGAAATGCAACCCTTCGACATTTTAAATGTCAACGGGAATGGTAATGTCATGTGGTTGGAGCATAAGTCTGAAGAGTTTATAATAACATACCTAGGATTTTAAAATGAAAAGAGCAATCAAGGATGCAGCTTTACACTCATGGATAAAAATGGTTTGCATTTGACAGGCTAGAAAAAGAATCAAAACAGATTCAGAAAGATAAAATTCAGAGCCAAAAGCACTTTGTAGTGAAATATGTCCCATTTTTATATGGAGTAACTTTATTCTTTGTCATGTTTTTCACAAAGAATCTTAAACCTCAAAGACCCAGACACTCTAGTAAAACTTCAGTTCTTGTAACAATTAAAAAACCCAGATAGCACTCTCCAAGATTTTTATTTACTTCTCCAAGATGTCTTATAAAGATCGCTTGTACAAACAACCGAAGATTTTGTCTTGAAAGTCAGTTTTACATACATTCTAAATCACAAACATCTTCAAACATCATCTGAAATGTTCCATAGATGCATTGCAGATAGCAAACACTAAAACTATGTCTTCCAGATGAAAACAAGCTCATCAAGATGTGTCTGTGATGTTAATATGCTGGGAATACTTATGCTTCAATAAAACCTAAATAATAATAATAATAATAATAACATTATATTACTCAAAATTAGCACATTCAGGAAATAGTGCTTAGATAGCTTATATACACACACCGTATGCATACATGCATATATTACAGTACATTATAATACAGTATATTCAGATGTTAGAATCTCTCTCTCTCTCTCTCTCTCTCTCTCTCTCTCTCTCTCTCTCTCTCTCTCTCTCTCTCTCTCTCTCTCTCTCTCTCTCTCTCTCTCTCTCTCTCTCTCTCTCTCTCTCTATATATATATATATATATATATATATATATGCCCTATATATTAATTCCCCAGTGTTGCTCTCTGTTTAAGGATATTCTAGCAGCACAATCTCAGTGGGGGATCAGTGCTGTCACGTGTAGATGTCTCTGAGTCCTCTGCGTCAATCTGTGGAGTAGGCTACACAGTTGTGTGAAAGGAAAAGAAGAGCTCTGTATTATTCAGTACACCACTGAACCTTCCTGCTTCACTGTTATATTGTGTCAGTCAGAGCATAAGTGGACCTTTCCGTTGCATGTGTGCCTACAGATGGTCTGTGTAGTTTAGCCTATACTGTAACGAGTGCGCCCGCATCACTAGACTTCACATTGGTGAAAACAAGAGAAGTAGACCAAAGAAGACAGAAGAAGGTAAGCCGACATACTTTTTTATAATTTGCTGCGAGACATTGAAAAATAAATGCAGAGAAATACAGCTTATGCAAGAGGATTCTTCGTTTCACGCTTTATCTTTAATAAGCTGTAGGCTACATGGGGAAAAAAACGTCCGTTTGGTAGCCTGCTCTAGGCAACGTGAAATATTTGTTCGTATGGTTATGATTAAAAAAATGTAATAAGCTGTTTCTTGGCAGTATTCTCCTTTAATGTTTTTAATAGTGGTGCTGTTTTTTTTAGCTGTATTAATATTGTTTTTTAACTGATTTGGAAACCAAACATGCTGCACGCGCATTTGATGCCCGCGAATTCAGCACGCGCATGACCATGCTGGATAAAAACTCCCTTGATTTTTGAGAGACAGACTAAATTCGACTGCGTGTTAGTAACTGCTAGTGTTAGTAACTGCTAATAAGACAATAATCACATTAAACCATCTACTGTGTAGCCTTAGGTGTGTGTATCACCATTGCCGATGAAAGTGTGACTAGCAGATGAATTTGGGTAATGATGGTATCACACACCTAAAGGCTATACACAGTAGATGGCTTAATGTGATTATTGTCTTATTTTGACTTAGGTTGAATTAATGGTACAAACACTGAGTTTCAGATGCTTTTGCGGTTTGTTGATTCAGTGGTGTAGCGTTTCTCTGACAACCACAACCTACAATATGCTTTCTGTGGTATAGAATTAACTGCCATCTTAATTTAGAATAAATTAACTCTTTATTAGGACTTTATTTATTATAGCTTTGAAATTTATAAAATCAAATAGTCTAAACAAAATTCTTATTTTGCTTTTTGTTTTAAATATTGCAGTAGCCTATTATAACATATGATTAAGTGCACATCATTTTTTTCATTATCTTTTAAAATAACTTCCGATCCCTCTTGCAACATCTCTGATAATGGGGTTCACTTGTTCACACTTCCATTAAATAGTTATAATAATTAAATAGAGTAAAGGGCTGTCTGAGGGCTCTAATTTCGGAATTTGGCCTAAACCCAGAGATCTCCCCCCTTCCCAGGTTAGAATAGGAATAGAAGTGAGTAGTGGTGGAGGGATGCTGGAAAACCACAACCATTCGACAAAGTCCTGGCATAGCTATGTTTTTTCTTGTTCAAGGAGGCCTACGTCACAATAAAAAAGAATGTAATTTCCGTTACATGCCAGCTTTACAGAGTAGTTTGCCATCATTTACTGACTCACGTCCTTCGGAACACATCTGACTTTTTATGTGGAATACAAAAGGTTTTTTCTTTTCCGAAAAAAATATTCTGGTCCCTTTTTTCATATTGAAACTGAATGAGGTCTGTCTGGGACTGTCATGCTCCAAAATAAGCACCATAGTTTTATGACTCATATCCCAAATCTCCTATCAGATTACTTTGTGTGAGGAACAATCTGAAATATAGGGTCTGATAATCTTCATCTGCAGTGATATTTGTCTTTTATTAAAACTGCTGTGGCTGGATGATCTTGAGAACCAGACTAGTCAGATTTCAATGAATAACGACAAAACATAAAACTATTGTATACATAAAATACATAAAACTTATATATGAGAATATGACTTCAGAAAAAGTTATTATTATTTTTGCATCCTTTATGAACATGGAAAAGCTCCAGGTTTTGGAATGACACAGGGTGAGTGAATTGTGACAGACTTTTTATTTTTGAGTCAAATATTTTTCAGCTCAGATCAGGAAGCAGCGTATCTCTAAAGAGATTATAGCAGTCAGTCACAAACACTCGTTCTGTTGAACTAAAGTTAGCTCCTTTTGAAAGATTTCTAGCCTAAATCTATGCATTCATAGAGAGATTGAGATCCTGGTGTGTGTTTGGTCCTTTCAGAGCCATTCTGTTTGATGCTGTAATATTCCTCTCATCTCAGTCGAGCTTCTGCCTCTTGCTTGCGCTGTCAGCGGTATTTCACAGGGGGAAAAGGCTTGCATGCTCTTAAATGTGTCTTTTTCCATTCCCCAAACCATCTTAGCTCAAATAATGAAGGAAAATTAGAGGGTCTGTGGGTTGCTTTCCATTTGCCTGAACTTCAGAATGTAGCCACACGGTGCAGAATGTCAGTAGTCCTGCGTTATTGTTGCAGTGTTCCTTTTCTAATTTGTTGTTACATGTACTGAAATGAAAAGTATGGATTTAATTCAATCAAATAAATAAACCAGCACCAGTGTAGCAAGGACTTTCTCTTTGAATGAAATGAAGTTAGCAAGACTTAATTCTTGCAAGATGTTGAATATTGGAAAACAAATGTTGCTCTGGTTACAGTACATTAGGAATCTATATGCAAATAGTGTCAAGACAAAGATACATGCACCAAGCTATTGAATCGAGGACAATATCCTGCTCTATTGCTCTGATGCTTTATAGTCTTGAGCTTTGCTGTTTTTTTCAAAAGCCACATATCTTTTTAAACCAAATGATCAGAAGGTACACCTTGATTAGACAAAGCGTATAGACTGATTTTGCCACACAATTTTAGACTTAAAAATAACAAACAAACTTTATTTTCAAAGATAAAATATTATTTACATCTACATTTAGCTGAAGCTTTTATCCAAAGCGACTTACAGTTGTAATATATAGAGGTCGCACGCCTCTGGAGCAACTAGGGGTTAAGTGTCTTGCTCAGGGACACATTGGTGTCTCACAGTGGATTCGAACCCGGGTCTCTCACACCAAAGGCATGTGTCTTATCCACTGCGCCATCACCAACCCCAATATTCTAAAATATAAAAATTTAAATATAGAATATAGTATATTTATCACGTGTATGCAAACTTATTCTATATTAGTAACTTAATAATATCACTCAGTCAGTCCCTCTGCTCTTCAGAAAATCCCATGGTACAGAAATGTTTGCTTAACATTTACAAATTCAAATCTGGCATATTTAGCATAATGCTTGCCCGTTATATATTCATAGGCAGCAGAATGTAAAGATGATTGAATCTGGATAAGCTGTAACTTGTGATTCAACAGAATAAACTGTCAGGCACAAATCTGAGATGTCTACACTATTTGTACATAAGATTATAAATGGAGGCTGCATCATCTTCAGGTATTTATCACATGGTGTAGCACATCTGCTTCTCCGCCTGTTGCATGCTCAGCTGTGATTCTGATCCGTCCCCAACAGCAGCACAGCATCTTAAACAGTGTGGCTCATCAGCAGATAGTCTGATGTTCTACCTCATGTGAACTTGAGTTCTCCAGTGACTCAGACAAGAAGAATATTTTAAACATGATTTCTTGCTTGATCTGTTTGCTGCCTCTTTTTTCTCTTTGGTTATGAAACTGTGGTTGTTGCAACCATTAAAAAAATAACATTTGAGGTGTAGTATTACAGAATATCCAGAGTAGCAGCAAACAGTAAGTCTTGTCCAGCTGGCCAAGAATGGCCACTTAAAAGCAGGCAGAAACGATTAAGTGATGAATCACAGTTTTTTTTTTTTTTTTTTGCTTGGCATTTATTTATTGAGTCTAAATCATGACAGCACAATGACAGATTGGCTTGAAATAAGCTCATGGAAATAATAATGCAGTATTCTCATCCACATCTCAGCATTTTCCTTTTAAAACAAATGAGTTATTTCCATAACATGAAATATTTAGCAATTTCAAACAGAATTTAAATATTGCTGCACCCCTAGAAATAACTCGGGAAACAAAGTAATATATACACAATTGATCTAAGGTTTAGTGTTGGTATAATGTTTTTTAATGAGAAGTCTCGCCAAGGCTGCATTTATTTGATGGAAAAATTATGTAAAAACTGTAATATTTTGAAATGTTGACAATTTAAAATATCTATATTCTGTTTGAAAATATGATCAAATGCAATTTATTCCTATGATGGCAAATCAAAATTTTCATTCAGCTAACTGTCCTCAATATTGCTTGTGGAAACCATTTAGCAGCAAGTTAATCAGTTTGAATCTGCATTTTTAGCCTGAACTTGCTATTCAGATGGCCAGGAAAGAGACTGTGAGTGCTTTCTGAGACTAACAACAGTCAACAGAATCTTCTCAAAGTAAAGAATCATTGTGTTTGTGCTGTGATTTTCACCAGCAGTGGGGTTTCTGATATGGATTACGGACTTAAAGGACATGTTGGCGGTGGGCTTAATTGAATTTGGGAAAACAATTTTATGTAGTTTGTTTTCTCTCTTCCATCTTCACACTGTGCTGTATTCATGCTGGGGTTAATGCAATATGTACTGTGGATCAAAGTTCAGGCAGTGTCCTTTTTTCTCTGATATGTGAAAACTAAAAGATGGGGTAGGCAATTTTCAGAGAGGCTAGAAAGGCTAGATTTTCAGAGAGCAAGAAAGCATGAGATCCTCTAGATCCACCACAATACATTAAGACCACTTAATTTAGTGATTGCTATTAGGATATTAAGAGACTTTCAACCAGCAAAACAAAATATGTTTCTGCTACAAATCACATACCCTGCCTTTGAGGGAACGGGAAGTACATTTTGATTTTGACACCTTTTTCATGAAAGGCCAAAGCTTGCTGTTGGCACACATGTCTCTTTTGGGCCTTTATTGAGTGGGCCTATTATGAGTGAGCTGTGAATGATCCCAGAAAGCCTCATTAAATCTCCTTTCAAGGTTAAAACATGAACTCTGAGGGATTGAGATCTTTTGCATTCTGTTGATCAAATTTAAATGTTCCTTTATGATGTGGGACTGATGTGTAAAAACAGAACAAGCAGGAATTTTGTCCACATTCATAGTTCAACCTCCACAGATTCTCAGTTGTGTTCATGAAATATGCATGCAAAGGCTTAAGGTTCCCTTGTATCTGTTCATAATGTCAAACATAAACAATAGAGAGTCATTTTTTTCCATTACCTAAATCAATAGCTGGTCTATAGTTGTAACCATTAACAAGTCAGCACTTCACTAAGACTGGCTATAAAAGATTTATCTCTGTCCCATATTAAAG